AACATAGGAGGCCTAATGAGCTAAACATACTATAAACATCAAAATGAACTAGAACTCAAAACACTGGGTCCTAAGACCCAGGATCGTGACAGTATTGGCTCCAGCCTCTAAGTTCACTCTTAGTGAAGTGATGAAGAAACAGTCTATGTTAAGGAAAGTCAGCTATTTATGACTTTCTTATTACTGTATCTTCTTTATTTTGAATTATGTGAGCAGTATTTCCTGTTTTATTTTGATAGTCTCTCGTTCTGTGTGCATAGAGTTGAGTTTTGCTTGCTCTGTCTTGTTAGTGAGTAATTAGTTACAGCTGTGTACACCTGTGGTCCACCCTCTCGTTATCCTGTGTGTGTAGTTAAGTCTTCAGTTTTTCTCTGTTCTTCGATGTCTCATCACAGTTTGCTGTGTGTTTCCATGTGTTCAGTGGTGTCTGTCATTTGTTCCTCATTCCAAGTTCCTAGTTTCTCGTTTTTGGAGTTTTGTACTATTGTATTTCTTTAGTGTCTGGTAGTTACAGTAAATAAAGCTGCCTCTTTTAGTTACCCCTTTGTTCCCGAGTCCTGCCTTTGGATCCTACCTCTGGCTACCACACAGCGCTACCTTCTGTTATGCAGCAAGGTACTATAGATGTGCAAAGATTAGCAGCTAGCTGTGAAATGAAGTAAATTCTCTGTTGTCCAATCGTCCAGAAGCATCTTCACAGCATCTTCTTCCTCTTTTTACTCTTGTTGCTCTCCCCCCAAACACATCTGGTCAATAAGCAAACTGAATATTCTCACATGGCTTTTAGTGATGCATTTTGGTTCACTTGTGAAAATCCCATATCGTTAGCTTCATAGCATAAGTGCCTAAGTCATTTTTTGGTCAAATTGAGATTTTTGCCTAACTTTACTCCCCTACCACTGCTGCATCATCCTGTCCGTCTGCCTATGTCATCACAAAAAATGACTTAGGCACTTATGCTATGAAGCTAACGATATGTGAAAGCAAACCAATCCTCAGGGAAAAGCTACAAGTTTAGAAACTCATCAACTGATCTTTTTGTTCCGTAGTATTCACAAAGTCACAGTGATCTTTCGAAAGTTTCAGACCTTCAAATGAAATGCTTTGATTTTTTAAAGTTGGGTCATTATGATTATGAATACACATAATAATACAATGATTAAAATGCATACATATATATATATATATATATATATATTATACACATGCTGTAAAGATAGGCTGGAGGCAGCATTTGTGTGTTCAAATTGTTTTATCTGCCTGTCATTGGTTTGAATGCAGTGGCCACAGATAAGAAGAGAGGTGTATTTTCAAAGGAAAAAACTGCAGTGGAGTGTGTCTTTGTGTGTTTGTCTGTTTGTGTCTGATTCTAGCCTTTAATGCTGCGCTCTGAAAACTAAAACTGACTGTGTGCGTCTTTGTTCATGTCCCACACTGACTTCCGTTTTGATCTGTGCCGTTTTCACTCTTTTGTCATGTTGAGCTGAACAACATGAAAACACACACTCTGCCTCCTGGGAGAGCTTTCTCCTCCTCAGCCCTCTACCTGTTACTTAGTCTTTTGTATTCACACACACAAACACACACATATGCACATGCACGCTAACGCCACTGCCACGCTTACCGTTTTTTAATCTGTTGCCTTTTCATACACACTCTAACACACATACACAGTGCTTCGTTCTTTCTTACCTTTCCAATACACTGGACTTATTTCAACACGACTCAGATTTTTCCCTTCCCTTCATACTGCTGCATTGCTTCTGCTATTGAGTGGATGTGGGAGAGGGTAGAAGCTATGAATGTCAGCGTGTGTGTCTGGGGGATATTTCACATTGCCTTTTATTTCGAATCAAAAGAGAGCTGGGGGAGTGAAGCAACACTTTTCTTTCATGAGAGAGACAGAGTGTTTTCCGAACTCCCACCGAGGCAGACAAGAAAAAAAGAAAAAGAGATGAGGAGAGAGATAGGAAATGAGCAAAGGAGAAACGGAGGTAGAAAGAGACGTAGAGCGAGTGGGAGGGAGACAAAAAGTGGAGTATGATGAGAAAAGGGAAAGAGAGATGGAGAGGCGAGAAAGTTTAAGAAGTGGAGAGAAATTTGTAAAAGATGGATAAAAGGAACTTGAAGAAGAAGGAGAGGTATTAAAAGCACGAGGAAGAGAAAAGAATTTTTTTTATAGATCACTGGATTGCAGATGATACCAGAAAGAAATTGGTAATTGAAATGGAAATAGAAATTTCTGAGAGTATGTGATCCATGCTTACAGCGTCCACAGGGGCAGAAAACACATTTAAGTGAGGGGGCACAGGGTGGACAGAGAGAAATGACACAAAGTGTAAAAGATTGGATAGCAAAGAAGACAGCAGAGCGTAAAAGATGAAGGAAAAGAAGGAGGGGAGACGGCTATGGCAGCATAGTGAAAAATTAGGGAGATGGATGAGAATAACACGGACGAGGAGCTATAGGGGGAAAAAACGGAGAGGCATCTATGAGAGAGTGGGATAGAGCGGTGAAAGAGGGAGTGAAGGAAATCAGATGGATTCTGGGCAGTCATTGTTGTGCTTTTCCTGCGTAGGCGTCGGGTGTTACAGTGTCTTGACAATACCCCGGAGCTATTGGGAAGAGGAAAAGAAGGAATACAACAACTAAACAGGGACAAATTGATTCCCAAACACTGAACTCTCCAGATATCTCCTGACTAAGTTTGTGCTGCTGCTCATTTTTCCATCCTGCCATTATCCATCCCCCCATATGCTCCTTTGCAGCTTTGAACTGGGTTCCCTGAATATCTGTGGATTGCTCACACAGGCAGGAGGTAGGCCTGAGGTTTTGACCGAGTCGGAAAACTTTCTGTTTCCATTGAGGGAGAAACTCAAAAGATCTGAGTCAGGTGTGATCTCTGAAGCACTGTGCTGTTTCTTCAGGGTAGGTGGAGCACAGTATGCCCATCACAAAGCGCATAAGCTGCATCTTTATCATGATTGAGCATCTTCGCCTCCTTCACCAATGAGGTTTTCATAGTACGTGTAACCTCAGGCTAACCTTTCTCTAAACTCCACATTTAACCTCGGGATAAGTCATACTTGACACTTTAAAGGCGGGTTACCGCTGCTTTTTACCCAAGCTGTGTAAAAAGGTTCACACTACCTTTGTGGTGCCAACTCCAGATCTACAGCACTAAGATACTGCATCAGCAGGGGTCGTACTATTCAGCTGAGTACTGAATCCCCAGGGTTAGCCCGGGGTTTTAAATGAAACCATGACACCTTATATGTTAAACCCAGTGGGTTAGAGTCAAGGATTAAAGAATTTTAGATTAATAACAGGATTTTGTTTGGACTTTGCTGATTGGCCTTTTTCACAGAGGATCTTCAGGTATATCTAATAAAACTAGTGAATCTCCTGCACCCAAGTTTGTCCTGTAACACGACCCTTTCAACCCAGTTTTACCACCTATTTTCTTTTCTTACTGTTACATGTTAAAATTCTTTGTGGAAAAGTATCAATGAACTTAGATTTATAGTCTCTTGTCCCAGTCTTGCCAATGCTACTTCGCTGCGTGCACCACTTTGCCCCTCCACCGAGCACATGCATGGTGACCTTGAGGAAACAAACTAAAGGAGAAACCAGCACAACGGCAAATTACTGCAGTGTTGTAACCACACTGCATTGAAATTAAATAAAGGTCACACACCTTCTAACTACATAGAAAAAATGTCTAATTTCTTTCTTCTTTTAATCAAATTTTTGGGGTTGACAAACAAATCTTTGCACATCTATAACAGTGCCTGCCAAGCCAAAGGAAGGGGAAACATTCACAGGTCAATTTC